GGTGATATCTGTTTATGATATGATAACCTGATGGTGTGTTTATTTTGGTTTACATCAGGGTGAAGTCTTGCGTTAGTGTTTCTAAATTTCGTTAACGCTAATTTTATTTGTTCGTTGATGATATGGTTAGAAAAGCTATCGTTAATTAGAGTTTGTTTAATGTTGCTTAGTTCGTTATAAAATAATGTGTTCGAAGAGGAGATTATTTTTTTTTATAACAGCTATTTTGTATCTGTGAGGTCATTCACTTTTGTAATTGAATAAACACGAGTTTCTTCCAGTGTTTTATATATATATATATATATATATTTATATATATATATAAAGAGTAGTGGTCAAATTATGGCTGTTGACATCGACTAAGACGACGAGGAAATGGGTTGTATTATTATGCTGTAAATCACAAATGTACAAATATACACGTAAGTATAGTGATGTGCATCCTCACATACTTGCAACTTGAAAATATCCAAACATACACATTTGGCCAATATTGCCCTCACTCAATCAAAAGTGTCTAAAAGTGCCGAACTGAATTCATAAAACACACGAAAAGCGTTTTCTTGTTTGTCGTGGCGATTAGATTAAAATTCAAAGATTCGTTCAGATAAGCTCTTTGGACATTGTAAAGCTTTTTCTTGATGCTACGTTTTTCTTTTTTACTTGAAATAAACGCATAACTATTCAATAGTTTTTCTCACAATTCCAACACCAGTTATTATTATATTTACTGTCAATCCAATAAAAAATTTTAAAAGTAAGTTTCAAAAGTGGCAGTTCTAACCAATCCGTTTCAGGAAAATAAATGAACCTGATCGTAAAATTCAATGCTTGTAAAATATATATATTTCCTTTTGTGATAATTTGAAACTTTCTCGGTGTGATCAAAATATAGTCTTTCCTGGTTAGTTAAACGGCCAAAATATTAAAATAAAGATTTCTTCCCAATTCTAAAGACAAGAGGAAGAAAAGCTTCTTTCAAATCAAAGTTGGTACGCTCTTCTGGATAATCTTTAATTTAATATTTAGACTTTCTATGCAACAACGTATGCTTCACTTATAACTTATATACATGTGTACATACGTAAATATATACATAATATTTTAAATGATATACATAATATATAAACATGTAAATATATACATCATATTTTAAATGTCAATAATGACATGTGAGCTGTCTTTAGATTATATAAGTATAAAATGTAACCGCTGCTTGAAAGACGCTTTTCAAACTAGAACTTTATAGTGTCTACGTGAGATAATTGCTAATAATTAGTTATTCTAGTTAGATATCAACTGCCATTTACATCAAAATAACCAGTTGAGTTTTGTATTTATATCAGGCAGCAATAATAATCAGTGTCGATAAGTTGGATGCGCAAATCGATATTTCGATCGCTGCATAATTTTTTCGTTTTAAATTATCAAAGATAACAGAAATCTTTGTAAAAATGGTAGTATTCAAGCAAATGTAATTGTAAATAAGGATTAGTCTATAAAAGTTAGAAAAACCTTGGAGAGGACGAAAACATTCTTAAAATGTCGATTGGCTATTTTTGATCAATACTTGTTGAGTTTTCTAGAAACATCGAAGGAGCAATGACTCTGCCAATGAGGACTTGTGCTACACGCATGCGCACTCGAGCATCCTAATTGATACTGCTATCAGTTGATTAAATAAAACAAAGCGTATAATTGTTCATGTTTCTATGTTTAGTTCATAATTTGACATTGTTCTCTTGACATGTCGGACTTCAATTGATGACATACACAGATTTGCATACGTATTCATAGACGAGTGCATAATTGCATATATAGAGAGAGAGTGATAGAGAGAGAGAGAGAGAAAGAGAGTGATAGGGAGAAAGAGAGCGATAGAGAAAGAGAGAGAATGAGAGAGACTGCAGTTATGATGAGCTGACTTTAGTTACATCTGGGAGAAAGCATAATCCGGTATGATCAACAGACCAAAGGAAGTACGCTCAACCCCTCGATCACGATGACTAGCACAACGCCCGACGACATCTGAACAGTTCCGGGTTGATGGGAAGGGAGTGCACGATGGTATCACTTTTTCAGGCCGATAACAACATCACCGATGACAAATGGACCATGGTGAGATTCGAACCCTGATCTCATTCTCAGAACGCGAACAATTCTTTATCTGGTCCACCAATTAGATTCTTTTTCCCGAGTGGAGAGAAATTTATACCAATAATATTCTGCTTTCTACGGGCATCGGCGTGACCAGTCTAGATGCTTGTTCGTGAGTTCAAAATATTTCTATCAATACAGTAAAATGACTTATTTTAAATTCTTCCATATTAGAAGAGCTACGCTGACATTCATTTTTTCTTATGAATTGAGATGTATCACTCAAAATGAATGTGAATACGTAGCAGTGAAGATTTATTTGCCTGAGTCGTTTGTGCACACCGCACTTACCGCTGATTTCATACTTACTTGCTGACCGATTCTAGGAAAGACTTCTTGGTCC